TTCTGGATGTTGTAGTCTGAAAGAGTCCTGCCATCTTCGAGTTGCTTGCCGGCGAAAATCAAACGCTGTTGATCCGGGGGAATCCCCTCTTTGTCCTGGATTTTGGCCTTCACGTTTTCAATGGTGTCCGAAGCTTCGACTTCCAGGGTGATGGTTTTGCCCGTTAGAGTCTTTACGAAGATCTGCATTCCTCCGCGGAGACGCAGGACCAGATGAAGCGTAGATTCCTTCTGGATGTTGTAGTCGGAAAGGGTTCTGCCGTCTTCCAGTTGCTTGCCAGCAAAGATCAGACGTTGCTGATCCGGAGGAATACCTTCTTTATCTTGGATCTTAGCTTTGACATTTTCAATAGTGTCAGAAGCTTCTACCTCGAGGGTGATGGTTTTTCCAGTGAGAGTTTTCACAAAGATTTGCATGTTGAATCTGTAAATAAGAGAAGAAATACACATAATATTAGTGTGGCATTATATTTTTCATATGATTGTTGGTACAAATGTTACAACGCAAGAATTAAGGTGGCACCTGCATAAACCGACGATAAATGGAAAAAATTGAAATTTAAGTATGTTGTAGTTGTAAATTTTATCTATCAATACGCGAAATTTCAGACCCGGTCGCCGATGAAATAAAATAAAGAAAAAATATTGAAGTTGCATTTTTTAACGTTCCAGTAAACACCAAGTAACAGTTACATTACATCAATATTATAATTTCCTACTCAACAAAATAAATGTAATATAATACCCATGTTATATTACATTTACATTGTTAACTAGGAAATTATAATATTGATAATATGTAACTATTACTTGGTGTTCGCTGGGATAGGAGTTAAGGGCCGATCGCTCGCAGAAGCACTTTGAGGATAGATATTATTTTGTAGAAAAAGTATCTTAACAAAAAAGTATCTTAACAAAAAACAAGATGAACATAATAAATGGCACAAGGATTCAAATGTGCTACTAACAATAAGTATTTTATATGAGGTCACCGACTTCAGCAAGCAAATTATTAGTAAAGTCAAAAGATCCCATACAGCACGCACGTCTAAAAGGCATCTTTAAAACGTCTTGAAGTCGTCTTTTAGATTCTTAGACATGCGCGCTGTATGGGGATACAATGTTTCGAGGAAATTTGACAGCTCTTTGAGACTTGGTAATATCACATATTTTAAAAAATGTTTATAAATGTGCATATACATTATACATATAACCTAGCATATCAATGCATTTGATCGATAATGCATCAAGTGGTATTTCTTTTATCAAAAGTCATATGAATTTACAAAAATCAAAGGGGTTTCCACCAAAGCACCCGCACTCCGTGTAGGAGCCATCTCAATCCCAGACAGCACACCATGTCTAAAAGACAGCTTTAAGACGTCTTTAAGTCTAAAAGACGTCTTAAAGACGTCTTTATGATGTCTTTTAGATATGTGTGCTGTCTGGGATATTATTACAAGTATCAGGCTGGTATTGCATTTATCTTACGACAAAGTTTTTAAGTGTGTCGATTGGCTGTAAAATAGTCAAATTCTCGAGTACCTAGAAATTTTCCATCCAGCAGTCGACACACTTGAAGTATTTGTCGTACGACGAACGTAATACCAGCATTAACTGTGAAACAATGGATAAGTTTAGTCGACCTTAACCGGCACGTGTTTAACAAATTAAAAGTAAAAATTAATTATTTGCATCTACGATAAGCGTGTAACTACGATTATTGGTTTGCTCCCTTTAGAATTTGTGCTCGACAAGGACCTAAACCCCTGGTCGAAACGTCGCACTGTATATTTTTATTTTTTCTTTATTAAACACGCGCCAGTCAAGGTCGACTAAACGTATCCATTGTTATTTACTATTGGCAACCAAAAGAGATTATCATGTTTGACTGTGAAAACACAAGATGTCCGTTGTACCTAATTGTTACGCAAAGTAAAACATGACAGGGGAAAAAAAATGAAAAAGGTTATTTCAGCCGCACAAGAGGTTAACTTTAATCAAAACAATGATAATTGTACAACACATCTGGTTCCAAGAAAACTTGACTTTCTCTTCCTTTTTCGCACAATTCAATGTATCCTGTGAAATACGACAAGTCTGAACTTGTACAGAATGCGTCGCGGTCACGAAGTTTCAGCTGCGCTTTGCTTAGCGCTACTTGGAACGCTTCGAAACGACTAATTCGCAAAGAAACCAATACTTGGCAGCATTTGTTACCAAAACGGATCCGCGGTCTTCGAAGACAAACGTCCATCGAGTTAATTATTCCAGTAATTGCGTCCGTCCGTAAGAACGAAACGTCCTACCCAGTTCTCTCGAACCACGTTGGACGCGATACGAAACAAAGTCTGAGAGTCGCGTCATTTCCCGCAGACGAACTCGAGGCTCGCGGCTACAAACCTAACGCACAGCGTAATCGATCGTGTGGTATATACGAGGGGCTACGGATTATTGCAAAATGGAGGGACGGTACATTGGACTCGGCGACCTCGGCGTCAACGGCAAGCAGGAGTCTAAAGCCAACGAAGCAGCGACGGATTTTCGCACGCAACGTCGAAACGGATAGTCGCCGATCAGCTTACCTGAAGTCGCAACGATTCCGTGTGCTAACGACTCGCGTTGCAATCGAAACTTTTCGATAAAGTACACGTAAAGACCAAGCGTTCTCGGATCAACGAAGTAACCGCAATCGCGTTGCCCGATGGAGAGAACCAGCCCAGGGATGCCCGCAAACAAAAACGTCTCTACTGACGCTTACCGCGCATGCGCCGACGTGTCATTGACCGAAAATGGGCCGAAAGGACGAATGAGAGAGAAAGAGAGAGAAATCTAAGAAGAAAAAGGAAATCCGACAGCTAGCGCCTCTATTGCGGGGTCTACAATGCGAGTCGCAGAGTCATAGTCGTAAGAATAATCGACTGCGATTGGTCAATTCCGTCAGATATATAAGAATTGACCAATCACAGTCGATTATTCTTACGACTACGACTTTATGACTTCTATGTAGACGAGGCTTAAGCCCAATGTCCACTATGCTAGAACCATAGACATAGTATATATAGACTGCGCGTTCCCTACTTCACTCGCGTGAAAACATGTGCCAACTTTAGAACGAGATAGCTGGTGTTCGCTTGTATCTTTATCTTTGTCGAAATGAAGTAGTGGGGGTAAACAAAAGAGTAGAGGAACGATAGATAGACAGAGAAAGAGCTACGAAGTAAGGCACATGTTGTCTCTTTCTCAGGTGTGTAAACGTCTGCAGCCACAATGCGCAGTCTATATATACTATGTCTATGGCTAGAACTTGGTCCAAGTTCTAACATCGTGGACATTGACTGACGCTATAAACGCTTCGAAGCGTTTCTCCTTTCTTTCTATTTTTACTGAAAGAAAAAGAAGATGAATACTTCGTAACATTCGAAGCGACATCGCATAAGTTTCTTCTTCGAATGAATTCAAGAATCGAGCCCCTTTGCCCACGATGCTAGAAATTGGTCCGAGTTTTAGTATCGTGGACAAGGGCCTTTAAAGCTGACTTTTCATAAGCAGCGAGTAGCAGCATTTCAGTAAATTATCAAAAACCTTAAGAAACTTACCAAAAAATTTTAGTAATTTACTAATAAATCTTAGTAATTTACTAAGACACCGTCGTAATTTACTGAAATGCTGTTACTACTTGTATTGTTGCAACTTGCAAGTGGCCAATTAAGGCTCGTCTACGCGTCAAGGCGTAAAGCGCGGCGCAAGTGCGCAGGCGCAGGCGCAGGCGTTGGAAACAAAATTAATTAATTTCGCCTGCGCCGCGCGTAGCTTTACGCCTTGTCGTGTAGACGAGCCTTTACAGTTGATTGTTCTCACGATTGTAACACTGGAGGAGACTCTCATTGTAGATCCCGCATTAACGAATCAACCGCGTCTACTTGATAAGACATTTGCTAATATGTATATGCACATGTCGCGCTACGCCAAGCGTTTGTGAATGCATAACACATTTCTCTCGAAGAGACGATTTAAAATACTGTATGAGTCCCTCGACGATTTTGTAAATTTCGTAGGCTGTTGATTTTCGCGCCGTTAAAGCCTGAGGTTCTCACCAGATGTCAGGGCGACGCTTCACCGCAAGAGTCAGCATATTTCGCCAGTCTTGGTCAGACCTGAAATCGGAGAGACGCCTCGCCAGGTCCTCGCTGAGTCTTATTCTTTTCCGGTGCGCTCTTTTGGGTGACCGTGTCTTGTTTAGTTTTAGCTGCAGTTGAATCTTTCTCCATCTTCCACGATGAAGATTTATAAGGACCTCTTCACCGGTAAGTGAGCCAAGAACGCTTCCCGCGAGCGCGCGAGCCATGTATTTTTCACTTTCGTCGACCGAGACGCAGCGATAGAAGGCGAAATGCCTGAAGGATAGCGTGTTTCAAATGTGGCGATATTTCAACACATTGAGAAACGTCCCCGCGTCGTCTCTCCGCGCGGAATTACGCGCGAGCACCCCCGTATCGCACGGCGAGTTGTCCCGGCCGCTACATCGCGGTTTAGCTTTCGCGTGAAGTTGCAATCGGATTCCTAACCTCCCCATATGTTCTCGAAGATTCGCGAGATCGCGGGAACAACGTTCGGTCGCCACGAGATCGTGACACGTGGGGTCCGCTCGAAATGGGACGTTTACGCCTCTGGGATTGCAATATTGTGTATATTTTTTAGGAGACGAGATGTTCTCCGATACCTACAAAATCAAGCTGATAGACGACGTGCTGTACGAAGTTTATGGCAAGGTACATATATACAATATATACTCTCACAAGCTGCGGTAATTATCTTATAGTTTAGCGGCCTCGGCTCCAAGCTCGGTGAAATTAAGTTCCGCAAGTCGCACGAGGAGAGAACGGCATGACATTTTTACGTCTAATTTTACAGCTAATTACCCGTAAATCGGGTGATATCGAAATCGCTGGTTTTAATCCGTCTGCGGAAGAGGCCGACGATGGTACCGACGAAGCGGTGGAATCTGGCGTGGACGTTGTGTTGAACCATCGTCTTCAGGAGACGTTCGCCTTTGGAGATAAGAAGTCTTACACGTTATACCTCAAGGATTATATGAAAAAGTAAGTGTCTTGTATGTGGATTTGTTGATTTCGATTTATTTCGTTGCAACAGCAAGATTAAATGACCAGTAACGCCTGTTACATTATGAATAGCGTCTATCACATCTTTTTTTTTCAAGTATTGCGAAGACTAAGAAGTTACAAGCTCTTGAAGTTAACGAATTAAGATGAATCGCTTAAGATGAGTCATTAACATGACTCGTCGATAAAATTAAACTTGTAGCTATCCCATAAAAGCTGCAAGTTAATTGGCTACACATTTCTCGGAACTAGAACTTGGACCAAGTTCTAGCATCGTGGACACAGGCCTTTATACATGTTACTCTGAAAATATTTATTAAACACTTTTCACAGATTAGTTGCGAGATTAGAGGAGAAATCGCCCGATCAGGTGGAGGTTTTTAAAACAAATATGAACAAAGTTATGAAGGATATCCTAGGCCGGTTCAAGGAATTGCAATTCTTCACTGGCGTTTCAATGGACATCGATGGAATTGTGGGTCTCATGGAGTACCGTGAGATCAACGGCGATTCTGTGCCTGTACTCATGTTCTTCAAGCACGGTCTTGAAGAAGAAAAGTTCTAAGTAAGTAGGAGATAAAACAGTTTGCCTTTTTCAGCGGCTTGCCACAATTTATTTTGTTTTTATTTGTTTATTATACTACTTTATGTTTAATCCCTTTGTGTGTAAAATCGAGATGTAAAAGAGGAAAAACAAGATGAAATAGAACATATATGTATACATATAATATACATGCAATTTATTCATGATCTACACGTTTTACTCGTGTTAGTCATTGCACAGACATGTTAGATGAAATTGGCTATCAGATTCTCGCTGTGACGACTTTCTAGGCGCAGCGTCTATTATCAGCCAGACATCTTAACAGTTATAATGCAATACTTAATTTTGCTCGAACGTGCGATATCACGCGATAGAGACTAATCTTCATTTCTCTGCGGTTTTTTTCCAGATAAACCGGAAATCAAGACTGCACACATGCTGGAAAGCTGTGAAATTTAGTTAAAAAATATGGGACAAACAGTTCGACTTCCATTTCTTAATTTGCGCTGCAACCAACTTACATTCAATAAAATCTCCGTTAGTGACTATTTCTTGATAACTAATTGTACATATTCTGTAACATGAGGGCAAGTGGCAACAGAATTCTTGATAATAATTTGCAATTAGCTGGGAAAGATGTATGTTAACAATGTTTTCGTTTTTACGTCCACTTTTGTATTTAGGCAATTTTATTTATATATACATAAATATAAAGAAAATGGAAGATGGGGAAAGAACTTGCAGTGATGGACTTATATCGGCGATGTAATGTTTACAATTACGTTAATATCCGTATGATCAACAAATTCTGAACCATATTAGACTTCATGTCCATCATAAATAAAAGAAAATTTTTCCGTAATTATTATTTCACTTATATTTTCCACATTTCTATTTATTTATATCTTCCTTCGTTCCCAGATTGCTCCCTGTAATTAATGACTGTAACATACGTAATTTATGAAAGTTGTATAATTTAAAATGCGTTTCCAAGCATTTATATATATATATACATTTTTACGAAATACGGATGCTTCGGAAATAATTGTTATTTTAATTATTACACTCAGAGCTCCTTTTCCTTAAATAGTAGAAGTGCCATGTATATATATACATATATTTGTCACATATTGCACTTTACATACACACATACATGTGTAAGCAATCATATTGTACATTTGTCCATTATAAATCGAACGGCTATGTGAAAGATATGAACTTGCTGCTTCGTAAGCGGAAGTATGATGCACAAAAAACTTGTCTGCCTCTGACGAAGACGGTTAATAAATATGCTGCAAAAGGAAATGAATCGATCCGTGACTTGTTTTTTTTTTATCTTCGTTATAAGCGTACAATGTGAGTAAAGATTTACAAGGGCGGGTCTGTAAATGGTACAAAAATATGACAGGCTTCTTCAGTTCATAAAAATATTATATTTAGATAAGTCAGAATAGACGATCTATCTCTTGGCGCGAAACCGTACATTATATTTCTTTACTCAGGGATTGTTACTAGCCATACTGTTGTACAAGTACACTCATAGCATCACTCCCCTTGTTTTGCACATTCTTGCCGTCAACAATTTCTCACCCTCTCTTACTCTCAGTCTCTCTCTTTCTCTCCCTCTCTCGCTTGCCACTTCTCTACATCGTGATCTCTACTTATCTCTCTCGCTCTCTCTCTCTCTCTCTTACGTTTCTACATATTATTTTATATACCCTCATCTCGCTCTTTCTGTGTGTGAATATATTACTCTTATTCTTCCTAAAACATTCGCTCTCCTCACCTGAGAACTCGACGCCTCCGTACGTGATACTTTGCACATGTTCCGTACCGTAATATTTGAAAAAAGATGTACATTTACAAAAGCGTATTTCTTAATAGTTTAGTAGTAAATATAGTATAAGTATGTAGACAGATTTTTCGTAATCTTACAATGGATGCGCAAATAAAGAAACGTTCCGTCAAGTAAACGAAATCATAACTTACAGCTTAAAAAGATAGAGATGGACTCTTGAGGGATGTACATACACACATACATATATGCACAGGAAGTATATATATATTATATAATAGAATATAATATATATGTATGTGCTCGTGTGCATATACGTATAATTAACTATATTGCTTTTGCTATCTACGGAGCACAACCATATATAGTGTCGTTGGTTATTAAAGCCAGTGAAATAAATTAATATTTGCGACAGAGTACCGTACAACACGCCTCGTCCCGCCGTAACGCAAACGGGAGACATCGGAAGTCGCGGTGCTTCCCCACAAAACGGAGCGAATTATATTCGGAGACTTAGATCGCATCGAGAAAAAGAAGAAGCGATGTTTCGATATAGGCATTCGTATGCACGCCGATTAACGATTATCCGTAAAGTGGAATGTTACATTCAACATTTATCGACATACAATTACAGTTCACCAAGTATTCAATCGGCTTTGCGCAAATTCGGAGTGTTTCCTTGTTTTTTTTTCTCTCTTTCCCCTCCTATCCTCTATAATGTCGTCTAAGATATTCAAATACGCCTCGTCGTCCTCGCGCGAGAGAAAGGTCCAATTCGAAATTATCAACGAACGTTTGTGTGTGCTTGTCGCGTGTGTATAAACGTGCTCGCTTTCTTTCTCTCACTCTCCTCCGCGCGCGCGGGCCAGAAGCGATGATGAAAGCTCCGGGCCGACCCCGCGGAGCGTTATCGCATTTTACGAGAATTACTCGAAATAATATTTGATCATAATGGCAGTCATACAAGAGTTAAACTTTCTTAATTAGAGATTGCCCATACGTAAGTTGTACGACGTTTATACATAGGTGTAACATACTGGCTTACAGTTTAGCTCGTTAAAGGTACGGTATTTTTAGTAGGACACCTGCTACTATTTTTCTTGTTAAGTTGGGTATACCTTACGCACTTGATAAGAGTAAACGGTATATTATTAACATTATCGGTACCATTATTACTATTATCATTATTATTGTTATTTATTACTATTATTATTATTATTAAACTTATTTGTACTGATCTATGTAGAATGGGTGCGTAGAAAGGGTTTCAATATGCTACGAGAAAAGACGCCCCGTCGTTTGCATTTTAAATACTGAAGTGAGACAGAAGAAGCTGGATTTTCTGAGTTAGAAATGTATTAATCGGACGTTGAATTTATCAACAAAAAAAAGAGAGAAAGAGAAGTAGAGAAAGAGAGAGAGTGGGGGGGGGGGGAAGAATGGCATGCAACGGAAAAAGGTAATGGTATGTCCAGGGTTCGCGTAAGTACAAGACACAAAAGCAAAGGAGGTACAATAGATACAAAAGTAAAACGTATAGTATCCATTGCTATTCTACTGTACAGAAAGATTACACAGCGCACCCAATTCTTCCACTCTAGGACACTGTTATTAGATAAGACTGTTACTACACACGATTTGAGCATCGTACCATTTCAATGATACTTCAAAGAAGTATGGCAAAAGCATTTAAGTTTATATTAAAAGTATACTCGGTACACACGTACGCACACGTACACACACATACACACACACATACGCATCACGATCTACCATTTGTTTCCCGAAACGGTGCTTCGCGAAAGAAGCTCAGTGTGTTATTTATGCTTTAGTAAAACGTCACGGCATTCCAAAGACCACTCTTGTAAATCCTCTTACCTTATATAATGTATCTGATCGCAGGACATAGAGCTCATTAATCTGTCATTTATCTTTGTTAACTCTTTTTTTTCTCTCTTTTTCCTGATCACTACTGAGGTTGTTGCATTTGTATTTGTGAAAGAATTCGGTTTATATATATATTCATATATTATTTATATATATATGTATAGATATATTTCCGTTTTAACATTTATATATTTATATGAAACTTCATTCACAGGTAGCTTCATTCGCGCCCTTCAATCCTAATGGTCACTTACAGCGTCGTTTTTTTTTTTTAATATTTTGTGAGGAATTTGAAGAGGTGATCGCTTAGTCGCGCGATTGTTCAGAGGTAATTTTGGTCAGGTGCTTCGTCAATAAAAGTATTGAAATAACAATTGTACAATCAAACGATAAGTTTGGTAATAGAATATCGCTCTTTACTTTGCGCTCCTACTCAATAAATCAAAAATGAATGACTTGAATCGTGTATATATATATATATATACATAGAGATGAGAAATTAAGTCGATTTACATACTCGATATTGCTCCTGCATCCGCATTAATACTCCAGTAAATATAACCCTGAATGATCAAAAAATGCTAAAACAGGCATCTGAAATGAATAGTAACTCCAGCATGTTATAAAAAAAATTATGAATTTAATATTGTGTTTTGTTTCCCACGGTACGCATAACATTAAAAACTCTCATCAAGTAGATAACAATAACCAACAACTAACAATCGTAGGCATTCACGCAAAAATAGAAATATGTTTAATAATATACAATAATATTATCATAATTTATATTATTGAAGTAAGTATGATCATTCCCTTACTATTTCTAGAGTAGTAGAGTAAATCGTATCAATGATCAGAGCTGAAAGAGTCCGGAAAGCATCAAATATTTTGTACAACATTCGCAAAACGACGAAATATTATTCCACAGTGACTTTTATTTAAAATAAAAAAATAATTTTACATCGAAACATTCATATGTCATAACATAATTGCATTTTCGTTAATTATAATCATCAAACTTCATAAATTCATGAAAAATATCGTATAAATCTAATATTACAAACGTTTATCTCTATTAGATAAACAAATTAGTAATGTACAACACTACGCATCTAAAAATTTTTCCAAACGAAGAATCGAACCAATATAACGTTGACATAAAACTATTAAAATTTGATTATCACATATGTAAATCATATCGTTAATCCAATTTCTTCATAAGTAGAAATAGTTAACAGATAGAATAGTAATTAACAGTCTCGAGAAAAATATATATATGTATATATACGTTTTGTACATATCTTTATATATCTAATAACATTTAAATTTAGAAAATAAGACGCTGAGCAAACACTTGCAGATGCTCCACTTTATGTAAACTTACAAATTTGTCGGATCTATCAGCTCACGTCATGTGATACGCAATTCTGTAAATTACTAACAACGAGAGGGTTCTAACCTGTGTCCACGATCAGTTAATTCTTACCGTACGCTAGACTTTTATAGTATAATTATACATCTCAAACGTTTCTTTTTTTTTGTCAAAGATTTGAGAGCTCTTGGGTGCGTTCGGGAGCTCACTGTCAGCGCTATTTAGTGCTACAGGCTGTTCGCAGTAGATTGTAGCGCTAGCAAACGCCATCACGACTAATGGTAGTGTTCAGGTCATAACCGCATGCTACCAACGCTTTTCTTTCCGAGGTAATGTGATGACAGCGTTCGCTTTTGTGAGCTCCGTGAACGCTGTCAGTAGCTGTCACTAGCACTTGTTTGGTTGCTTGTATTGGTTTTTTTTATTTATCGTAAAAGTAATAGAAAGCAATTATGTTGAAATTACTCTGTATGATGTAGAAACTAACGAAAATGTATTAGCTAAGGTTTCCGTGGCTGATGCTCTTAGAGCAGAAAACGGTAAGTTAATTAATAAATAATAAATAATATATACAACATATTACTAAAATATTGTAATTATTATTATTTCGCGAATACGAAGTAATAAAAGATATAAGTGCCACGACAGGATGTTGGTGTCTAAATGATTTTAATTTTTTAATTTATTACGAAAAATTTACCTCAGTCAGAGTTTGAACCTGGATCCCCGTCTTACCAATTCGACCACCGGGGCACGCGGTAATATTTATCGCAATGGTCTACAGTTATTTCACAAAAGTCACGTATCGTGACTAAATACGAAATAGAACTGCGCGCCAACATAATTGTCAGTATTATTTCTTTTATTATTTATTATTTCACGAGGTTCTCCGCAATGTAGTGTCAGCGCTATTCATGCCGTTCAGCTGTTCACGGAGCTCGCTATCACTATCGCGCTATTTGTTCCACGAACGGTCTTTGGTAGCGTTTGCGTTGGCTGCGCGATAGCGAGCTCCCCGAACGCACCCCTTGTATCTTTGTTTTTATCTGCTTTCGCGCGCGCATTGAACATTCTCCGGGGGGAAACAAATCTCACTGCCAGTAAACTATGACAAAAAGAAAATGTCTATACTCTCTCTACTCTATATTTGCTGCCATGTCGAATTTGTACCAGACACAGAAGACAGCATTCCGGTACTGCAAAGTATACGCGTAAGAGTTTGTCATATCGTTAAGTCTAAATGTTAAAGATTAACGAAGAAGAACCGAGTATATATATCCGAGCGTGCACTTTACCAAGAAGAAACAAAGAGATAAACGGAAACCCTAACACCTTGAAAAGTAAATACTTCGTTCGCACGCTCCGACGTCAGATTGTTGCACTTCTGATATTCTATCACGGACACATGCTGCGTTAAAAAAAAAGAGGGCTACCATATTTAATTTAATTAATAATGAATTGGTAAGTTCGTTTTCTCTCCTATACTCTAAAATACAAAACAATAAATTATCGTTAAACTTGCGCACTGAGCGTAAGGGGATACGCATTGATGCAAGTATGTTATGTATACATATCTATATGCAAATAGTGGCTCTTTAAAGTAACGATCCGAATCGAGGCAGAGTTGGAATGTAAAGGTGTCCGAGAACTCGCGAGCACAGACAGCGTCTTCGTCGTGCCTCCGCCGTCGAAAACAAGTTTGCCGAGGCCAACTCGCGACGTTGAAAAAGAGAGACGAGAGAAAGACAAAAAAAAGAAAGAGAGAGAGAGAGACCGAAAAGTAACAAAAAGTGCAAAAATAAAAAAAGAAACTTAATAATTCTAGGAACTTCTGTGACTGTGAAAGATGAGGCCCGACGAAGACGCGACGTCTGTCTGAAACAAGGATCGATCGGCACGAAATATCGTGTTGGGCACGATCTTCGCTCGGATGATGGCACGACACATGTCGCAGGCTAAAGAGGCAGCGATTGTGATTAACAATATTTTGTACAGATAATTCTCTATCTGTCTACGTAGATTTCCATAAATTAACGTCGTTATAATTAAACGTCACTTATTTATCCACCGGATAAAGCCAAGTAAATTTCCATCGATTGCATTTGCGTCAGGCCTACCTAATCGTAACAAATTTAACCGATTCGAGAAATTAACTAATTATCGATCGACAACATCGAAACCTGGATTATGCAGATCGCAGCTGTCTACCGCGCTCAGATTGTGCTCAGATGTAGGCGTATACAAAAATTGTACAAATACGCGTACGCACGCATCTATGTTGCTATATTCTCTTACGTGCGTGGCGTCGTCGGCCCGTAAGACCGCCTCCTTACACTGGACATAAAGCCTGATTTAAGTACTCTTTGCGTTTAAACATATTCTACTTTGTAACCATTAAATTTGTCCAGCAAGTTGATAAATTGTACAATCGTACATCGACAATAATGGCATTTTCAAGCGTTATTTGCTTACACAAAGTAGAATATATATATATAACATATTTCTAATCGCGAAGAGTACATCGTAGGGCAGGCTTAAGAGTCGCTAAGCTCTAACAAAAACATAAATAACAGGGCAAGGGGCAGAAATGGGATAGAGGTGGAGGAGAAAAAGGGGGGCGGTAAAGAGAAGTAAGTAAATTCCACCTCGCTCGACACACGGATAGTCCATACCGTGACCGCAGGAAAAGGCGGCGTAGTACAGAAATCGTTGCATCTCGAATGCGAAACTTGACTCGGTCATATCTTCAACTGTCGTTGCAGTCGTCATCGTAGTCGTCATCGTCATTATCGTTATATCGTCCAGTAGAGGAAAAACAATTAAAAAAAAAAGTCCTATATTTTTGCCGTCCTTCCTTTACTTTTTTACATATCGGTGTGCCCCAAAACGCGGCACACCTTTTGCTCCTAAGGATCCGATGGTGACACCAACATCTTCGAGAGGCAGTTTTCAACCGGCGCTTCGCCAATTAACTTGGTGAAGAATATATGCTCTAAGCACTTGAGACCGATCGAACGGATGGAGGGCAGACGAAGCAGCAGCTTGGCGAATCTGCCGGGGTCGTCCGGACAATTCACGCGGGTGTACTCTTCCAGAGCAGCGTAGATTTTCTCGCGCAGCAGGCTGACCTCGTGGACGGACTTGAGGCCTTTCACGTCGGGATTAAAAAGAATAATGGATCTGCACGAAAAATAATACTGATATTAGATCGAGCCATTCGCTAATTGGGTTCGCCTCGTTTAACTTGCTCATATCGGAAACAAAGGAAACGAAGGGAGTAAGATCTCAGAATTGAGAAAAGCAAGATGAGGAGGCATAGACATTGGACAGGCGTTCAGTTTTCGTCTCACGTCACGTTCGATCGACGGTGTTCTATTAGAGATTCATCAGAGATTATTCTCGCCGGTTACCTAAGACATCCGAGCTCGGTCTTGTCCATTTTCATCTCACGCATCTTCGACACCAGCTCCGAGAGAACGCGATCGAATATCGTGATCACGCCAGCCTGTTGCGCCGAACTTCGATGTACTGCGCTGCCCGTTGCCAGAATGATACTGTCCTTCGTCTCGATGGAACGGTAGGAGAAGGCGGCTATTTGCAGCTCGCTCCAACCAGCCTTGAGCAGAATCGCCTGATCTTCCAACGGCAGCGACGAAAAGTGCGGGATATGCTTCGCCCATGCCACCAGCTGCAAGATTTGTTGATCTGTACGTGTGCAAATGTGCGACACTGGATTCTGCGCATTACAACAAGTAAGCGAGTTAGCACGTGAGCACGTGATATTCGGAGAAAAAGAAACAGAGTCGTCAACAATGACGACTACAACGCCAAGAGATTCTTTGTAGAGCGACAGACATGTCTCTACAGAAGTTTGCATTTTCAACAAAGTCACGTTCAAGATGCACTTTTGCTTACATTTTATCCAGAGTTGGGAAAGTTACTTTACAAAAGTATCCAGTTACAGTTTCTTCGATAAAAATGTAACTAGTTACAGTTACTCAAAAAAGTAACGAATCATTACTTTGCAGTTACTTTCGTGCAATGAAGATAAAAATATCAAATCTGCATTTGAATTGTAAAGCGTCGATAAAGGCGTTTATGCGCAAATGCAAGGCCTAATGCGATCTGTGGGGGTTTAAAATACATATAAAATAACTATTAATGTAACTAAGTTAAGTTACAGTTACAGATGGAGAGAAAGTAACGAAGGGTGCTTTCCAGCAATGTACACAAGCGACACAATCGTACACAGCTAAAAAGCTGAGTTGGACTGTGTCGTCTCTCCACAAAGCCAACATTCTAACATTTAATACTACCTATTTAGTTTATTTGGTACCACTTATTTAGATAAGTTACGTGAAAGAATTACTCTGCACCCTGGCGGTATAAACACAAAAAAGCTGTACAGCGTTCCAGCTACAAGTCGACACTGTGTAACACTGTGTTACGACACAGTTGTTCCATTGTTGGAAAGCACCCGAAGTTAAGTTATTAAGTTAGAGTTACCAAAAAAAGGTAACTGTAACTTCGTTACAAGTAACGAGCTACTTCCGCACCCTGTAGTCTCGCATCTACGTAAAAATTTGCGCTATCTCGTACACTGTAATCCTATAAATTCTCAATTGATGTGACGCGCACACAGAACAAAAAAAGTTGAATCATCAGCATCAATGTAGTTAAAATTTACTTTATTAATTGACTATTAATCGAATCGATATGTCATGCTTTTATTTTACAAACTGAGATCTTTTCTTTAGTTACACGGTACTCTTGAAGGATTTCATTCAATTATATCTACTCCGTGAAACAAACAAGTACTCACTTTGATTAAATATAAAGTAATTAATCACTTTTTATGTAACTGCATAAATAGAGTCTATTAAATTAAATTTTCTGCCAGTTTCACCGCGTAAAGCAATTAATATAAATTAACAATATGTTCATGTTGTGGATACCATCTTGTTCATTTATAGAAGAAATGATATAAACCAACAAGATGGCGCATTTGTATTAATAATATCAAAATCGATTTATTTTACGCGGTTAAACTGACAGGAAATTCAATAGCCAAACCAGTCGGAATTTTCGTTAGAGGAACGCGCATATGATATTACGCGCTGTTACTTGAGAAATCATATTTCTCTTTCAATACGAAAGATTTTAATAAAATTCAACGACAGTACAGACGAATCAACTGCACACGTTTGTGGCGGCCCGTCGACGCTTAATTGAATCAAAGTGACACTTTTCTTTAATCCAACAGTATTTTTTCCTCAACGTAGGCTCCGTACGAGAGCGGATCGAATTCCGATCCCTGACTCTCAGCCCCTTGGTTTTACAAGGGGTTCAACGGTGAGCGAGGAGTTTGTTTCGAAAAATGGAGAAAACAATAAACCGATACACGCGTAATTAATTTTCAATTTACCGAGCCGCGAGATTATTCTCGCAATCGGGTACATTCTAAGACGTACTTAAGCCAACGGCACACGATACTATTTTTCCTACTGGACTACTTACGAGAGCCAATCAGGATTCAGCTTTGAGTCACCTGATCGAAAACTGTGCATTCTGATTGGCTCTCGTAAGCAATCCAGTTGGAAAAATAGTATTGTGTACTGTTGGCTTTAGTCCCAGTCTACAATAGAGATTTAAACCGTAAGCCTTAAGAAATTGACTAATCATAGCCGCGCATTCTACTCATACTTGACCGTGATTGGCCAATTTCTTAAAATTTAGGGCTTAAATCATCTATTGTAGACTGGGACTTAGTTATATTATATATTATATATATTATATATGTATATATAGTCGCGACCTGCTTACATCCTTAAACGAGCCGTTTCGTTATTACTACACGTCTAAATTCCCGCTTTAGCCTCCCTGCCGGAGATACGCCCACACGTGGCACGCATCGACACGCGATATCTTCATCACGCGGGAGCGCGAATAAATATATATATACATATATATATTTACCTCGAAGTGTCCCTGCTCTATCTTACACTCGATCCGCTTCTCCGCCTCGAGGATACGCTCGATCGGCATGTCCGCGTGCAGACTACTCGTACTCTCTACTTCGCTCTGATCCCGCTCCTTTGTGCGCTGACGCTCCTCCTGCACCGCTTCCCTTTTCATACCCATTGACAGGCACTTCTGGTACCGGCAGTACTGGCAGCGATTTCTCTGTCGCTTGTCGATGGTGCAGGACTTCTCCTCGCGGCAGGCGTACGACAGATCCTTACGCACGGTCCTTTTGAAGAACCCCTTGCAACCCTCGCAGCTGAAAGACGAGACTCGCGTCAGACAATCGACGCGACGTAAACGCGGCATTACGCAGCTATTTCATTGGCCCTACAATTTAGCGTCAAATATAGTCACGTGGCTAAAGCAAACGGCACACGATATTATGGGTGCGTTCTTTTAGGCATCGGATTTGGCAACCGCTGCGCATCGGATCTGCCGGCTGCGCAGCTGATTTGAGAGAACGGAGTAGAGCTTAAATCATCTATTGTAGACTGGGACTTAAGTGCCCATCTACAATAGAGATTTAAACCCTAACCCCTGGTCCATAATCTTGCTTTAAGTAAGCTGTAAGCCTTAAGCCGTAAGAAATTAACCAATCACAGGTGAGAGTGAGGGGAATAAATGCCTGTGATTGGTTAATTTTTTACGGCTTAAGGCTTACAGCTTACTTAAAACAAGCTTGTGGACCAGGGGTTAGGCCCAGTCTACAATAAATGATTTAAGCCCTAAGCTTTAAGAAATCACGGTCAAGTATGAGTAGAATGCGCGACTGTGATTAGTCAATTTCTTAAGGTTTAGGGTTTAAATCTCTATTGTAGACTGGGACTTAAGAAACCGACTAATCACAGTCGTGTATTCTACTCATACTTGACCGTGATTGGTCAATTTCTTAAGGCTTAGGACTTAAATCTATTGTAGACTGGGACTAACTCCCTCCCCCCCCCACTACATTTTCTTGATGCCAAATCTCGCCAAAGTCATGTAACTTCAATTTGCCGCTGGTTTCTAGCGTCCATGAAATTGCACCTTTGCCCCTGGTCCACAATCTTGCTTTAAGTAAGCTGTAAGCCTTAAGCCGTAAGCCGTAAGAAATTAACCAATCACAGGCTCTTATTCCCTTCACTCTCACCTATGATTGATCAATTTCTTACGGCTTAAGGCTTACAGCTCACTTAAAGCAAAATTGCGGACCTGGGGTTACGCGCCGTTATGTTGCAGTTTTACTCGCAATCGTTCGAAACGGAATCCGATCTCCGGGGGGCGTTCTTCGGGATACAAGCTGAATGTTCTCCACCCTGGGATTTGACAAAGCAATTTTTCGAGCGAACTGTCGGTCGGGAAAATCGTCGCGCGATTATTACCGCGCCATCCACTCGGCGCGTCCGAAGAGACAAATCGCGCTCGAGTTCGCTCCGGCCGTAACGAAGCTATTTACTGCGTCATTACATTCCATTACGTCGCAGTTGATTGCAATTATTCCGTTGTGTAAATACAGATGCATTTATCGTAAGTCGGTTACACTCCGTTCTTGCGTCGCCTCTCGAAAGGGATTCCAGAATTATTACGCTTCATCATCTCGCGGCGTTCTTACGCCGCGGCTCAACGTTTTCAAACGACGGGATGTAAAACAAGAGGAGAATTATATCCCGCGTTCATTTCGACCTCGCGCGACGAACGCGACTGCATTTTCCTGCCTTGGAACCTCGTTCGAGGGGGGGAGTTTTAAAAAACACGGGGGGAGACAGAAGAAATTAATGTCGCGAGATAATTATTGTCCACTCGAGAGCGGTGAAACACGGCGGGCTGTCTCCCGTTTTTCGCGACGACGCGACGACTTAAGTCCGTCGAACGACTTGTTGCCACTCTTCCCCGTCGACGTTCTCGCATCAGTCTCTCCGACCTGGAGAGACGCCGCGCAGGTTTACGACTTCTCTCGCGCGCGCGCGCGCGATTCTCACGGCGAGCAGCTGCCGGGAACAATACCGCGGACAGAAATAAAAGATCGTTCGGCCTCGGTTCACCATCGGAAACTGACGGCCAACGTAATCCCGATTTTACTGAAAGGCACCTCGGAATGTGTCATTGCTCGGCTGCTCGATGATCGAATCGCTTGGACAGCTCGGTAAAGGTCCGTGTCCACGATGCTAGAACCTGGGGACGACTGCTCTTCTTAAGGCCCGTGTCCGCGACGCTTGGTCCAAGTTCTAGTTCGAGAAATGTGTGGCTAATCAACTTGCAGCTATTCCATAAAAGCTGCAAGTTGAGTGGCTACGCATTTCTCGGAACTGGAGTTTGGACCAAGTTCTAGCATCGTGGACACGAGCCTTAAGAAGAGCAGTCGTCCCCAGGTTCCAGTCCTAGTCCGTTATTTCTCTCGCCAAAAAATTATTAAGCGACGCGTCTTAAGGGGATGTTGGGAGTGATTCGAATAAGTTATAGCTCGCCTAACTTATTCGAGTGAATAGATTTTTTGTTAGGCTTCTAAATTTAATTTCAATGATACCATGCCGTTCTTTGACTTAATCTAAATAGTGGGACGCTGTCGGTCTGTACACAAAAGGTACATAATTTGTATATTACACAAATATTTTCATGAATGGACAGTTCTAGGAGCAAAAGGTGCCAAGAGTGCAGAATCACTCCAGCCCTTTTGCTCCTAGAACTGTCCATTCATGAAAATATTTGTGCAATATACAAATTATGTGGCTTTTGTGTACGGACCGACAAGTGTCCTACTATTCAGATTAAGTGAAAGAACAGCATGGTATCATTGAAATCAAGCTTAGGAGCTTAACAATAAGTTTATTCACTCGAATAAGTTATAGGTTAGCTAACCTATGCCTAACCTATAACCTAACCTAACCTAACCTATACGTCACGCTTTACCGCGCGAGCAATGCGGCGAGAAGTCGGGACGGTGGAGAAGCAGCACGGAGGGAAAATCCGACTTTGTTTCTCGAGTCGTCGTTCGAGGCGACCGAATCCTCGGCTCGGCTTCAGCTCGGCGGAGACGGCGGCGTCGTGTATCTTCCGCCGCGCGGCTTTATTCACGTTTAGCAGATGACAGCGGAATTTAATGCCGCTGTTTGTTCTGCCCTCGGCGGAGGATATAGCGTTTTTCGGGATATGTGGCGTCGTTCCGCTGTCACCGGCGAAAAGAAAGAGCCGGCTCCTCGCGCGAAATCGCTCGCGGACGCCGCGTCGCGAATATACGACGGCGCGATACGTGTTTTCGCGGCGAAAATAAATTCACCGGCGGCATCCGCCTCCCCCGCTTTTCTGGATCCCAACGGGGGATTCTGGAGGCGGTCCAAAAACTTTAAAAACGACGACCCTCAGGGGCACGGAGCCGCATGACTCACGGGGACCGCGTTGATGATCCTCGCGGGCTCGCCGGCGACAACAACCGGCGGCCGAGCGTGACGCGATGATCGAAATATCGTTGCCGATTCCCGAGAGCGACGGGACGGGGATGTCGTCCCGCCGAAAAGTATCAGCGATGCCGAGGACAATTCCAATGCGCGATGCATTATGCGCGTCATTGTAAGTATACGGAGAGAACCTCTGTGTAATCATGGGACAACATGGCATTTTAAAGAATTTTCTGCGAGTTTTGGGAAAGTTTACCATACATTTTACTAGTAAAATGTATACTAATTGTAAGTATAATTACTAGAGTGTAATTACTAGTTGAAATTCTCAAGTCTCATCTGCTTTTCTCGTGTGTTTCCAGCTTGGCGGTCGAAAACGTAAGCAATCATTTTGAAACTTGGGACTTGAGCAATACTGCAAATTCCGACTGATTGAAATTCTTAAGTCTTACTGCTCACGTTTTCTCGTGTCCTTCCAGCTTTACTCGCGCGATCCTCAACGGGTCCGACTCTCCGGGCGAAATTAATTCTGAGAGCCGCCGGCAGCGCGACACATTATTCGCGGCGTCGAGACGATCGCGAGACGGGACCGGGCGGAGGCCGGCATTCAAAAAGCGCATTCGCCAGGACTTGAAGGTAAATCAAACGGCACGTGCATTGTCTGGCTCTCCTCGGCGGAGAGTTTTTCGCCGAGTTTTCGCGAGTCCGAGAGTCGCGAGGAGACGCCTACCTAAACTGACGGAAAATATTTTAATGACGAGCACTTTGTAACATTTTAAGACAAAAATTCTAATACGAAAATGTCGAGGCTAGAATTTCGCGCGCACAGGGACGGCAAAGTGGCAAATTTCACCGCGGAGACTCGCCAGCTTAATCTAAATAAATACGATAATGGCAGCTGACACTTATCAATGTTGATTTCGAGTGTTGAATAAAAACATTTTAAATTATTTTTATAATTCATTACATTACATTGCATAAGCAGAATTTAAAAAAAAATTCTTGCACGAGTTTTACAATAACTTCATTGTTGTCAAAGCTGTGCGCGGTTCAAGGAAGCACCTTTGCTACTGGACACTTTGCCATTACTGAGAATTCTAGCCTCAACATTTTCGTATTAAAGTTTTCGTCTTAAAATGTTACAAAGTACTCGTCATTAAAATATTTTTCGCCAGTTTAGGTACACCCTGTAAAATTGAATATCTCTCTGCGTTATTTTAAAAAAAAACGTGGGATACAGCAATTAATATTATTTTTTAATATAATTGACGGCTATTTATAAGTATCTGTATATACAATGAACGTTCGTCTTTTTAAATGACATATTTTTTTCTTTCATCAGACCGCAAAGGGTTAAACGCGCGTTATCGTTGATGAAACACGTGCATATAAAAGCGACGTTGAATAAAGGTGTCGCAGCTCCCGGAAGACGAGAAATCTCTCTCTCTCTCTCTCTCTCTCGCGGAGAAGTCTGTTTATTTCGAAATGTATATAATAAATACGTAGGGAGAGAAATCGCGCAGGTTCGTCTGGGTGCCATTTACTCGCCAGCCGTTCCTCTGGACGAATCTCGCTTTTCCACCGACGATCGCTAATTCGCGGCTCGATTACGAACGAATGCAGGCTCTCGAGGTTGCGACACCGCTGCGTCCTTAATCACCGCGTAAACAGCGCGGCGACCGCGGTAGAAGGGGATTCTTCCTCTCCGTCCGCGTGCGGAGTAATGACGATCCGCCGGCATTCGCGGCACCTCGCGCTTTCCCAGCGCGGCGAGATAACGAGATAGCGAGAAACGTTAATGCCACCGTGGCGAGTGTGGCGCAGAGAAATGTGCGTCGCTTAGTAAACAAATGAACGGAAAGATCCGAGTTCAAATCCACCCACT